TCTCAAAGATTGTTTCTTTTAAAAAAAAGTCTTTTATGAAGATAAGGACATACTTCAAATGTAAGGCTACTGAGAATAGTTTTCCCCTTTAGATATAAGAATTCTGATATGTTAATTAAAATCTTTTTACAAGTTAAATAGTTTGTCTAAATTTGCCTTCACCTTGCTCTACCAGAAACAGATACCTCCAAAAAAAAAAAAAAGTTACATTCTGATAATGACTTGGCTAGAATGTTGGTATAACAAAGATCCTCACTGTACATCATATGATAATACTGAACATTCAGTGTTTTTAAAAAAATAAAGTATTGACAATTTATTCAAGATCACCTACTTTTTGTGCAAATATTTTAGATAAGTCTTTTAAAAATAAAATTCTTATTTAGTTGAGTTTACTTGAGCTCATAATCATCAGATGCAGTTTGTTGCAGCAGATTTCTGTTTTGTTTATATGCCAGAGACAATGTAATTTATTCTGCTGGTTTACTGATGTATTTGCCTTACACTTCTTTTAAAAAATATTTTCATGTTGTTTTTTTTTTTTTTTAATCAGAAATGGGGCTGATAAAATTTGTCCTCAAATGTTGCTTTTTCCTTATTACGTAATTTAAAATGCATACAAGTAAGGTTTGTACTCATAGCAAAATAGCATGCAAGGTGCATTCAATCAAATGGATGACATTAGCTAAGGAAACCGAGTAACACAGAAAAGGAAGGAAAATGAGCTCTGAACTGGCACTTGCCAGGGAAGAAATGAAAGCTGGTCCCTTTCTTCAGTGTCTTTCAGTAAGAGGTGTTTGGGTAGTGACTCCCAATCATGGAAAATAATTGTCATTCTTGTTGAAATATATTTTAGGAACTTAAGATCCTTTTTCTCTATCATTTATTATTGTGTTAAGCTCTTAAGCATAAATCTACCCAGTTTCCCATTTTAGTTCCAAAATTTAGACATGTTAAGTCCCTGCTTACCCTCTGGTTCATGTCAGAACTGTCACTTGATAATAGGTTGTGGATAGAATCGTATCTTCTATTAATGTAATTGTCAACTTCTCAACTTCTGCATTTTTAAAAAAAACCTTACTGCTACCTTAACCAAAACAGAAACAAAAACAATTTTTGCTTACCAAAGTACACAAACAAGCCTATCATTGCAATTTACTTTGCCATATCTGAACAACAGTGACATGTCTGATACCAGTTATGTAAAACTGATATTTCTTTTTTCCTGCATCTGTGTTGCTTGTGAAAAATAGGATTGGATCCAAAGCCCGTTCTTCGTCATCTGAAGCAGGGTAGCACTTTCTCACTTCATTGGAGAAAATGGCTAAAGCTAGAAGCTTGGTCCAACTTAATGGCTATGTCTATCCTTTTCTCAGGCTAGATATATACACATGTAGTATGGCATGGCACAAATACCATATGCAGTCTGCTTTCAAAGATTTACAGTTATTCATTACACCTGGTACAGAAATATGCACGACGGTGTCAGTGCAGAAATGTGGTTTTACACCACATTTTGATTCCTACAGAGCAAAATGTAGTGAGTTGTTAGCAGTGTTTCAACGACCCTCTTATATACACGTTACACCACCTACTGTTTTCTGCAAAGTAGAATGTATTGTGCCACTAGTGGTGTTTCAGCAACATTCCTGCATAAAAACTGCAGCAAGAGCTGGCCATCTAGTGGAATAACAATTGCTGCATGCAGTGGACTCTGGTCAAGCAAACATAATGAATGAGCATGTGATATTTCAGGTTTTTAAGGCTGATGTGTCAATGAAATGAGAGCATGTTAGTAATAATCACTCAAAGCTTTGGAATCAGCACAGTGTCAAGTCCTGATTACGGAAAGTGCATTGATTAATTCAGGTGAATTTTAAAAGTTACACTGAACAGCCCCATAATAGTTTATAATGAAAATGAACTGAGTTTTGGTGTATCTTAGCATGATTTGATTCTCAGGGAGAGCAATAATGATCCATTTCATGTTAATGACAGGAAGCTTAAAACCTGAGAAGAACATCTGGAGTTCAAAAATGTTTGCAGTGAGCAGAATAAAATAAAAATAGTAATCATGTTCCCATCCCCAGTGTGTACCAAAGTGCTGCAGTAAATAAGAGATTTCTCTGTTGTTAGAGCAGACTGAAAGGAAAGTATTTACACATAACTGCAAAGTGAAAAATGCAAACTGTGTCACACACAAATGTAGGTTCTTTAACTTGCAGGTTCATCGACTATCTTCCACCCTTAACAATGATACTAAGAAAGGGTTCAACGATATTTTCACTCAAGGATTAGAAAATTAAAATATAAACATAATTTAATCTTATGACTAGGAAATACAAAATTACAAGCAATTCTGATTAACTATTTAATTGAACAAATTGTTTCATGTTCAGTATTAAGATTTTCCAGCCAGAAGGATCAGTATTTTCAGTAATGAATTATAACCTTCACCATATGTAGAAGTGCAAGTGTGACAAAATGATTTCTGGCAGATAACATAGATAAATCCCTATAAAAGCCAGTCTTACGGAAAGTTTTCATTAATCTAATCAAACTTTTAGGACATGACTCCCAGCTTCACTAAAGAGAAAGCCAGCTTTCAACTTCAAGAATCTATCTATGTATCATCTATTGACTTTTAAAATACAGTGTAAAATTAAACATTCACGCAGTTCTTTTGTTTTTTCTCACTGCTAGCCTTGTGATCTCTACTACAAACAGAAGGCTCTTTAATCTGTATCTGGAAAGGCAAGTACCCATAAAATAGAATTTTAAATCGTATTTATACCTCCATTAACTCTTTCTAATCTCTCTTTCCATAATAAAAATCACCCTTACAGGATTCAAACACTAATCCAAATGAGCTGTTAACAAATCCTTCAGGAAATATTCTATTCTGTTCAAATTCTCACTTTCTGTTTCCTTGGAATCTATAATACCATTGGCACATGAAGCTATGTTTTTTTCTTCCGTCTTCCCTAAAACACAATAAATGGTAATGGTTTGTTTTGCTTTCCTTTTTCATTCTACTCCTTTTCTGTTGAGGTATCTCAGCAGCTTTATAGCCTGATCAATATTTAATGCTTCTCCATTGCATTACTCAATTTTCCTATTCATTCGCTACTTACCTGTTAGCAGTTAATTATGGACAAATTCAGCACTGTGTTTGGATTAAGTATACTGTTACCACTAGAAGCACACGAATATTATTGTGTCAAGATCTGTGTTTACATTCTTATTATTTCTCTTTCCATCATTGAGTTCTTTATCTATTCCTCTATCTCCAACTATCTGCCTGAGGTTTTGTTGTTGTCTTCTTAACCAAGTTTGAAAATTAAATCAGTTTAGCTTGACCTTTCCTTCACATTTCTCAGTTTAAAGCTCTTTCTTTCAGTCATAAAACCCCTGGTGTCAGAAGGCAATTTTCCTAGATAATCAGTTGGAATCCATCCTTGGAAAATTCTCACTTTTGCTAAATGTATTCCACTAGAAAAGTATTTCAAAAAATGCTATTAGCATTGATCTTGAGCCATCTCTGTTCATCACTATGTCAACATCATATTCTGGATGGACTGCAAAAAAAATGTGTGGTCACCAAAACAAGATGTAACTTTTTTAGAAGTAAGTTCTGATATTTCTATGTTAGAAATGCGTTGCAAAATTAAACTGCCATGGAAGCTTAGTACAACTCCCTGTAGAACAAGAGTACTCATTTCTGGTTACATTTGTTATCAACAAATAAAGTGTGAACTCACATGTTCTGCCTTTTGTAAACAAAACAAAAACAACAGCAACAACTACAAACAACAACACAAAAATAAAATTTAATATAACAAACGCATGGCAGATGTGCTGTGATCAGTTTCAACTGATGTTAGCTTTTTGCACCCCATTTCATGTATACTCAATATTCAATGCCTGATCAAAGATAGCCCCAAAAATTATGCTGAAGGGCTTGATTATTTTCAATTTTGGTGGGGAAAAAAATAATAATGTAAGGGTGGATTCTGTTTCCTGCATTTTAAGGAATTACTCCTAAAGAGAAAATTATATATTTTTGTTTCAACTAGTAAATCACAAAGCAGAGCACAATGTGTAGAAAGAGAGAGCATGAGAGCCATAATGGCTACCACCTTCTGAAAGAAAAAGAGGATGGAATAGCTATGTGCTACCAAAAGCCAAAGAAATTATTGGAGCCTCAGCATAGCTGAAAGCAAAGGAAAGTGCAGTACCCCTGGCAGTTCTGGAACACTGAATCTAAACTAGATTTCTTCAAAACTGATGGAGAAATGTGCTAAATTCAGGAGTCACTGGACTAATCCCATGATGCTCAGAAGAATAATTTCCCTAAAAGCTCATTCATTTCACATTTACTCTACTGTCCTTCCACTACTTTCAATAAAGCCATTTTCGATCAGCAATTCACAATAAGCACTTATGTTAATACAGATTTGACTAGCAAGCTTTCGGGATCTCTCAGTTTCTAGGCAGAACTAAAACACATTTTCTTTCCTTAGGCATCTTTTCAAATCTAATTTATATCTGACAAATGAGACAAGAAATCAATAGTATGTAGTATATACTGTATAATGACCTGGAAAGTTCTTAAAATAGTGAAGCTAGCTTCAGAATAGGTATTCAGTATTCTATATACAATTATTTGGCACTGTTACAATTGGCCAAATTCCACTGAAAATACAATTCTGTAAAAAAGGGGCAAATCAAAGGGGGTGAATCTGGATGTTCATGCTATTTTGAAGTTGCTTCTAATAATAAAGTTGTATACAAATCAGGTTTTATTATGATTTTTCCCATGACGTTTTGGAAAACACAAACAGAAAAATATTGAAGGTTGGCACTGTTTAACTTCTAGAAATGCAAAGACTATATTCTGTTCATATACTGTGTGTCATGCATTATAACATCCATGCCATTAAGGAGATACTAGCATGAAACATTGAGTTTTTCAGATTTTAATAGGCAAATTTTCTTACCTCTGCTTTGGCATACGGATGAGTGGCTGTTTATGACATCTCTTACTAAGGCCAAAGAGCTTGTGAACAATCTTCTGTGCCTTGAGAAATAGTTGCTTCATGCTGTTTTCTAATTGCTCATAGCGACGTTGAAAATTAGAATCCATTGTCCACAAATGCATTACAGTAGATGTGTTCAGAAAATAATTCATGGGCAGCCTTTTCATAAATAATTTGAATTCATCTGAGAAAAAAAAAAAAAAAAAAAAAAAGAGACAAAATTTATTAGGTTTTAATTATGTATTTGTAGCTATTTTTAGAGTAAAAATGAACTTATTCTTTGGTTATTCTTGAAATTCTAATATATTCAAATGATCTTTTGCAATTTTAGAATGGAAGTTTTCAAAGTAGAAAGTTAACCATATTTTTTGTGATAATATTATTTTAAAAACAGAAAAAGTAATTACAGCCATAAATATTAAACTGATCTTAAAAGGCAATTCAAGCTTGTCATTATTTCTCAACCTGGAGAACATAGGGATTAAATAAGAATCAGAACTACTCACCTTCAAATTTAGGGCCTAAAAGTAAAAGCACATTTAAAGATCACTATACTTTGACCCATATGGAGAAGATGGAAAATAATCTTAAATGAAGTATATTCCAATACTTAGAAAATTCAAGTAGATATGATGTCACAAACTTACTCTTTCTTAGACTACAATAAGCCATTATAAGTTAGACTTTCAAAAGAAAGAGTTCTTAATCCACACATTAACTGTGAATTCATACTGTGAATATCCCTCACTTTTTGATTTGTTCTGCTAGCTTAGTCCATGTAGGATATATAGATTGAATCTCATTAACAGAATCTTATTAATCAGTGAGTCTATTTTCATGAGCAGTATAATTTACAAGCTGAATTATAAGTTTTGAATCTTAATAAACTTAGTTTAAAAAGGACTCTAATTGGGAGCATCGGGGAATGAGGTGAAGGGGAGAGGAAGAGGAAATAAATACCACCCTTGAATATACATATATATATATAACATACATATATATCTTCTATTCTTTCTTGTTTCCATATTTCCGTACTTTAATTTTGTCTGCCCTCCTGCTGCTTTTTACTGCATAAAAGTCACTCATCCTATTGCTTTCACTTTTCCAGTTGCACCTTTTGGGTAGTATATTGTGAATGCAATGATTCAACAGGCTGAAGCAGCCTCCTGCTTAGAACTAAAATTGCTTATAATATTTAATATTTCTGTAAGTTTAGATTTCTTTTGGGAAAGGGTTGATTAGGGAAAATGTCTGCTAATATGAAAGAATATTCTACTACAATCAAATCAAGAGGTATGCTAGCTTGGTTTAGTTTTTTCTATAGAAGAATATTGTAATGGGAAAACAAAAAAAAAGGAGATATATATATATATATATATATATATATATATATATATTTTTAACAGAGTAATAAGAAATTTCTTTCCTAAACGAGCTAGATCAGCCAACCTCCATATTCAGTGGGGCACAGGGTCAGGATGAAATAAAACAGGTATTTTCTGCCATAAAATATTCTGTTATGGTTTACCATTCACTGGAAGATAAATAGTATTGAAAGACCTTCTGTAAGGTACAAAATGAAAGGGAAGGGGCAAAAAGGATGATTTAATATTTAATAAAGTGGTTTTAATGATTCATCTGGAATCTCTTTGGCAATGTGCTATTCATTTTCTTGCCATGCCTTCCTCTTTGGATATTAGCCTTATGCTATTCTCTTTGTGAGATCAGTACCACTGCCCCTCTGCTATCTCTGGGAGAAAAGTAAGGAAAATGAGGGTTTTTGCTTATTTCATGAAGTATTTGAAGCCTAACTCTTAATCTTTGTGGGTTTTTTTTTTTTTTTTTCCCTCTAATTTTATCCCATGTCCAAAAAGACTAAGTATCTAACCCCAGGTATTGCTTTTTTTTTTGTTTTTGTTTTTGTTTCTGAAAAAAAGTTAAATTCAATAGAAGTATTTTGAAAATTTTACTATACCAGATAAGCAGCATTTTGTCTCTTGGTGCAGTTCTAGGAAAACAATTCCCAAGTAACAAAGAGAAAATTACACCTTAATCTCCCTGCAAAGCACTTCCCAAACTTCCTTTTCCTTCAAGGCTTGCACAACTACTGTGAGAAGGGATTAAGTCTGACTTGTCTGAAGCAGGTCCACTGGTTTGGTGAAGCCATGCAACCCTGAAGAGTGCATTTTCAAATTTATTTACTGGTGCTAAAAATAATTATTAAAAAAAAAAAAAAAAGATAAATAGGGGTAAGTGAACTGTTTCAAAGTACATCCTTTGGCAAAACTCAGATCTGCAGGTTGTATAAATCATCCAAGCTTTGCTGACTTCAGAAGAGTGTACTAATGCACTCAGGAAGGATCAGATCCAAAAGTTGCATTCCTAAATACCTGTTTTAATTGATAACTTTTACATTCTCTTCTGTTCTTCAGAGACACTGGTATATTTACTCAAACTCAGGTTCATGATGCCAAAAAATATATATATACATCCCAGAGGAGAGAATGTACTCAGAATATACCTTTTCAATTTTCATATTTGCGTAATAACTTAAGAACCATTGTCAATTTGTTGTCCTTTGCAAGCTTTACAGCTAACAACTAATCAGATGCAGTGTTTAGACATGATAAGGAGGGTTTACAGTCTTTAACTTGCAATGCAAATGCATTTCCAGTAAGAAAGTGCTCTTTTTTTCCCTGTAATAAACATCATCCTCGACTATCCCTGTGCCTTGAATGATCATGCTAATGAACACCACACTGCAGGTAAAAGAGAGACAGAGATAAAATGAGCATGGTTACATAGTGCCTTCTGAAAAAAATAAAAAGAAGAAAAAAAAAGAAAGGAAAGATAATGTGCTCATATCTTAAACAGACACATTTCATGATCTGTGAAACTACAACATGAACTCCTACCACTGAGAGATGATTAAACTATTACACTCTAATCAACACATTATACCAGCCATTCGTGAAGATTAACAGCTAGTAGTATAGTGCTGGGAGACATACAAAGTGATGATATTAAAACATGATACTTGATACAACATATGATAAGATTTCAGTACTTTCTAATTTATTTTTTCATTGGTAGATATCAAGTGCATATGTAATACAATTTTTCTTACTACTCACTTCAAATACTGAGAAAAATATAATATACAGTGATTGATCAAACAAGTTAACATAACTTTCCATTTATAGATGGTCACATTTACTTTTCACCTTCCCCTTCTGCAAGCTTTATCTTCCATGTGTTAGTAGTGAGTAGATTGAAATGGCATACCATATTTCAGCAGCAAAGAATAAATGTAAAGTATCACAATGGAAGTAAACATTACTGCTAGAGTCAGATGCATATCAGACACATTTAGGCTGTAATAAATACCTAGAACTACTTAGCTTGTAACTTGGATTCTCAGTGTTATTCAGTATAGGAGCAGGGCACAATGCTGAATACACAGATAAGTACTCTGCAGACAGAGCCAGCAGAGACCAGAAAAATGCAATGAGTCTCATCAAAAGATCTGACAATTCCCTGTAACAAGGAAAAAAAAGGTGCCTGCTCTCTGTGTTGGAGGAGAGCAGGACCCTTGAGTCTTTTGATCTAAATATTTTGCATATCCCTGATATTTTGAATTACAAAACCTATACAAGACCATTCATGCATACAAGACCATAGCACACTTCAGTTTTTGCTTCAGCTGAAGCCAAGTGGTTTTTTGGAACTCTTCCAGAACATCAAAATGTTCTGTGCAGGTGTGTTTCTTAAGATCCTTTTTGGAGGATCTTTGGAAGCATCTTGGAAGTCAATGTAGTTTTCCCAGCTGGGGAATCCAAAGCACTGGGTTAATAATGGTAGCATAAGCAAACATCTGACTGTGCAGTGTAAAGCTTGCATAACATGTCACATAATATCAACGCACTTTCTTCTCCCTTTCTTCTGTTGCATAAATGGAACAAATCCAATTATTGTTCCTAATTTTTTTCTTTTAAATAAGAGCTACTGCTTACCCTATCAATACAAAAGTGATTCTCTCTAGTCTATATGGGATTAGAAACACAGCAATTTTCTCCTCACAGCCCAAGGCACAATCTGCGTAAAGTCTGGGAACGATCTTCGCTTCTGCTATGAGCATAACACTCATAGGAGGGTGCAAAACTATTGCTCATTCCAACTTCTTATGGATATCTGCTTGTGGGCCTCCTTACTACCCCAGCATCTCCCTGGGTCAGAAAGGCTCCTTGTGCAGCATGCCTTGCTGTGCTCCTCCTCTGGTGGAGCACATTTCCTCTTATCCTATTGCCTGTTGGTTGGGAGATGAGAATGACCCCTGCCTTGCTACGTTTCAGGTCATTACAGAGAGCAATGAGATCTCCTCTGAGCTTCTATTTCACTACTCTAAATAATCCCTGTACTCTCAGCAGCTGCCCATTGGACTTGTGCTCCAAACCCTTCAAAACTTAATTGTCCTTCTCTGGATGCACTCCAGGGCTTCGATGTCTGTCTTCTAAAGAGGGGCTCAAAACTGAACACAGCATTTGAGGTGAGGCCTCACCAGTGCCAGATACAGAGGGATGTTCACCTCCTTAGTCCTGCTGGTCACACTATTTCTGATGTAGGATAGGATGGTGTTGGCATTCTTGACTACTTGAGCATACTGATGACTCATATTCAAAACATATTCCCAGGTCCGTTGCTGTCAGGTCAAAGTCAAATTACAACATAAAGTTTCAGGAAATATATATTCTTGTTTAATTGTTGATTGTACAGTCTAATTCAATCTTAAATTGTCTTTTATTTTTTCTTCTGAATAAGCATTCAAATGTGCAAAATATATATATATATATTATTGAAGAAAAGGAATCTGAAAATACCTGAAAAATTGTTTTGCCTGGCCAGTTTAAGAGTTCCTTATTCAGTGGCATACTATTTGAGATGGGCTTATGGATAAGAATTCAGACTGTAGCATTTTTTTCCATTTATCAAAGCCCAGGAAAAGACTATCAGTAGGAGAAAACCACTTTGTATATCATATCATTATGTCAAAATTTACCACTAGATAGCTATTGAAATGGGCTATTTTATCATTTCTCTAAATGACACCTTAATGATACATTTTCTTCTTTATTTATCCAAGAACAACAATAAAAAAGTCTTTGAAAATCTTTATAGTGGATAAAA